TGCTTGTAAATACAAATTTGTTTTGTTTTTTTGTTTTAGACATTAGAGACAACCGCCGTTTTCCCCTTACCTATAATATGGTAGGCTTTTCTATAAGTCAATTGCGTAGGCCTTTTTAAGTTAGATTTTTGTGTGGGGCTTTCTACTGTGCTAAAGGGGGTGACACAGTTATAGAGCAGCCATCTTATTTGCTGTGATTCGATTTAGTTTGAAGTGTTATTCTGTTGTATTTTGTGACAAAATGCTCCTGGTAGTTTAGTCCCACATGTTCTATTTCTTCTTGTTTGTTTTTCAACTATATATGAAGTGAACAGTACTTAATCTATTTTTTGAGACTCACCTGTAGAGTTAATTTATTGGAATGAGAATTATGGTTTGTGTTAATAAATAGTAGAATAATTTGTCACAGCTGTCACTTCTACCCTGTCATGTCCACATCTCACTCAATCAGTTCATTGAGTGCACCTGCTAGTCACATGTACCTCGTCAGCCCAATCACACTCGCACGTCTACCCTACTCACTCCCTTCAGTATTTAAACCCCAGTTACACTCTCGTTCACTTCCAGATTGTTCACTGCAGTATGCAAGACTTTCCTGCATGTACTCTTGGACTGATTTCCCTTTGCCGACTCTTCCTGCTAATGGTGGGGATCAACCAACCTCTCAATAGATAGTGAATGGAGTGAAATCCACAGAGCACTTGCAGATCACGTTATGAAACTTCATGTCCACAATATGCGACTGTGGGTGAGCCGGGAGCACGGTCATCCTCCAATCAGAGGGTTGACTGGGTCAACCAGGGTGAGTTACAACAACGATAAACCCTGGTTCACAACGGAACTCAGAACACTACGCCTGCAGAAGGATCAGGCATTTAGGAGCGGGGACAAAGACTTGTACACAGAGGCAAAATACAGTTTCTTCCCGTCGGCAGTCGGGCTCATCAACAGAGCCCGGTCCCCCACTGCCTGACTATAACACTCCACCGGTCACTCCCGTTCACACTGCACATGCCACTTTAACTGTCATTCATCACTTTGTCACTTTGTCTCTTGTCTGTTACTTGTTCGTTAGTGCACTTTATGCTTAATATTTTTCTTTTTAACTTTTTAATATTTAAATTTTTTTAACTTTATTCCCTTGTTTTATACTAACCCATAGCCTTAGCCTTCTAACCCATTGCATTAGCATTTCATCCCACTTTATTTTATTACTTGTGCACTGTTGTCTTGTCTGTCTACTGTCGCGCACTAACCGCCAAGACAAATTCCTTGTATGTTTGACATATTTTGGCTAATAAATGTTTCCTGATTCCTCCTGACTGGTCGATCCCAGGCTAATCAGCATGTCGATGTGTCCTTGGGCAAGACACTTAACACTTAACATTGCTTGTGTAACAGCGACTAGAGTGTGTGAATGTTAGTTACTGGTGGGCAGGGAGGCACTGTGTACGGTAGCTCCTGTCATCAGTGTATGAATGGGTGAATGATGTCATGAAGTGTTAAAGCGCTTTGAGTGGTCGGAAGATTAAAAAAGCGCTGTCTAGTCCATTTACCATTAAACAGAAATAATTGTTTTCTTCTATGTTTGATGGTGGAAATAATGCCTGAGTTGGGGTGAAGCCATTCCTGCTTACGCAAATTCATTTAATTCCACAAATGATTCTGCAAGGAAGTCAATTTATTAATCTTATTTGGTAAATGGCTCGCATCAATTTAAACCATTCTAAACGTGGAAGGTGCTCCGAATGCACAGCGGCACCTTCAGAAGAGATTCTTTCTAAACGTTGGGTGTCTCGAGAAAAAAATCAAGAAAGAGGAAGTCTCCCTGCATTGTGCTTATTTAATTAACTTGCCATTGCTGTAGAGGAATAAATTAAATATTGCTTAAGAATGAGCCTTGCCAAAGACCCCCCCCAAAGATGTTAAAAAGTAAATGTTCAGGGAGTCTATTGTGCATTGAAGCTTTCCAAAAAGGAATCACAAAAAGAACAGTAAGCGATTTAGGTCTGACAATTCCAATTGTCTGCACGGTGTGGAGTCAGAATGAGGAACACGGCTTTGTAATTTGATACCAAACAGTGTGGGGACAAGACAGATTCATGGAATAATGATGCTGAATAAGAGAGTGATCTGTTAAAACACACAATTGCTAAATGTGCCAAGGCTGCTTCCTGATGTTTTTTGAAATGTTGAAAATCCATCTAAAAGCCAACATTAAAATTAAAAGCCGATATTACTGGCAGAGAAAGTGTTGAAGAATGGGGGGGGAAAAAAGCTCTCCACAACAACAAGCAGCTGAATCAAGTTCTGTAGAAGACCTTATGAACCTAAAATACATGTATAAACTCTCCTATTTCAGTTTGTTGAATAGAAACACAAATCGAAATCACACAAACAGCTCTAGAGACAAAAACAGCGCAAACCTGGGGATGGAACAGAAGGACGGTGGTTATGTTTGAGCAACAACGTGGCACCGTCATTGCGGGTCATATCATACAAATTTGTCAGACATTTCAAGGGTTAAATAAAAATGATCCTTCATACATAATTTAGTCTAGTTTAATGGTGTGCTTTGTCGGACGACTGATTCATAGTTTTCAGCACTAGTCACTGAAAATAATCGTTGCACACATTAGTAAATGTTATAATACATTCATCGTGATGAATATTTGTGAGCACTTTGAGACCAATGTTACTCTTCTAGAATAGTGCACCTGCCACAATGTGAATTGAAAGAAAGTTGAGGCCAACAATATTCTGTTCTTCCTACCACTGAAGTGATTCACCCCCCGCAGGTACCGCTGCTAGAGAGAGGCACTTGATTGACAGCTGTTTTAGTAGGAAGCCTAGAAAATAAACATGATGTTCTTAGTAATGTGCCTAGTAACTGGCTCTTTTGTATTAACTAAGATCCCTAGTCATCACTACTGGCCTCTCAACAAGAAAGAAAGCTTCCTTTCACCCCTTGGATACAGCTTGCGTGTTGGAGAGCACCAACAACTTTTGCGTCACCAGGAAACCCAACAGTTCTCATGGTTTCCAGTCGATCCGCACAACAAAGGGCCGGGTTAAACAAGACTCGGGGAAACACAGCAAACCTTATAAACGGACCGTAAGGCTATGTCTGGGCAGAAGTTAGCATGTGTCATTATTTTTGTTTTGATGTTTACTGCATTGTTTCACGAGCTGGATGCCTTTGTGATGAAAGTATTGTGTGCCACTGTGGTCAGAGAAAATACATTAAAATGTATTTTGATATTTACCTGTTAAATAAATGTATTAAAATAAAAAACACGATACTGGTGCCAGAAAATGTAACAAAATACAGTATCCTCCACCTGTCCCTCCACATAAGAGAAAGGTTTAACTACATATATTACATACAATACATTAAGGAGCACTTTTCTGTGCATGTGGAATGGAGGCTGGAAACCACTGGTGGGTAGCCAGGGTTCAAACTGAGACCTTCAATTCCTTCCCCCTAACGAGTGAATATCCTTGATGACACTTGATTTATAGTTTGGTTAGATATTCACCTTTAGGGTGGTGCCCCGTTATATATTTATTTTGTGAATTATCTGATTATTAATAATTCTATTGATTTTGATTTAATTTCACACTAGCTTTGAACCTAAATAATGCCTTCGCCTTTCCCAACACTGGTCTACTGTAATACCATAACACTCATACAATTATACAGAAATACCACTACACCGTAATTCAGTGCTGCCGCAGCAGCACAACACTTTTATTCTAACACTGCCCATGCCTGTTTTCAATGATCTCTGACAGAAGGCGAGGGTCCTAAAAAGACATGAATACATATTGTCTGTAATGCTCAGCACTCATATAATTGATATCTGGTAAATATGTATTTATTTTCTCCCTGGCCTCCACAAGCTCCATCATTTTAAATGTATTTGTATTACAATTTCATATCATGTCCAACAATAGAAAAGTTGGAAATCAAGATTATTCAGCATTTCTGCTCAACAAAACGACTGTTCACTTGAGCTGGCTTTATTGTTAGATACACACTGTGAACATTGCCCCTCTCTCTGAACATGTTTCCCTTACTGTCCAGGACCAGAACACGCACTGGAGGAGAGACACTGACAGCTACATGCTTCAGGTAACACAGCGAGTGCTTCATTGATCCTGTACTGCCCCAGGGTTTCTCCTCTCAAGCTGCCTCCAGTCTGCTCACTATACAAGTGTAGTTATACCCCTCCTGCAATAAATCCTCTTTCCATTATTTTGTCTGCCCCATATATATATGCAAGGGTAGGCTAAATAACAAAAACACCTCTTGCATGACAATACAAGTAGCAAGTAGTACACCAAACATTCCACTGTCATATGTATATATTTTTTGAAGGTTTGTTCCCAGAGGTTACAAAATTCAGCTTCACTGTCCCTACTTAAGACATGCACATTAACAATACAGATGTTTGCATTGCAATGTTGTTTAATTTATTCATGTACTGTTATTTTGTAAATCTTATTTCATCATAACTTTTTATTTGTAAGATATAGATGTACTGTGTATCCTCGCAGGTCTAATATTGAAACACACATCCATGTATTGACATATATATATATATATATATATATAAATGTATGACATATACACAGGCATACAAACACATTGTTAAGTTTGTGTTCCGCTGACGTCCTTGTATTAGAATGATTAATGACTTAATAATTCAGCAGAGGAATTTCTATTTTCTTTAAAGAACGCTACAGTCTTACACATAGCAGCTACAAGGATGCATTAGACCTGTAGTTACCAGCTCCTTGAGGTAACGGTATAGTAAATACTGGCCATGAAAATGACAAAACTAGCATCATTGTTTATTCCTTTTGAAATATGTGTCGGGGCTGGTATTTGTAGAGAATATTGAATGAACTGTTCACTAACACATGATGCAATGCACTGACCTTCACTGAATCGGATGAGACACTGGGATGCTTGCAGTTGTGCGTTGATAACTTACCGTCTATGTAGCGCTGCAGAGATGCCGCCGTCCTCCCATCCCGGTCACCGTGACGATGAGCGTGGACAAGGGAATCTGTTCCTCTGCTCTCTTTCTGCTCTGCTTCAAAATCTTGCCTCCGTCCTCCCATAAGCCGCTGTCTGTCTGTCAGCATCCAGTGATCGGAGAACTGCTTAATGCCGACAAGCTTTCCTCTCAGCCCGCTCTCCCTCCCCCTCTCTGTGCTGTCAGACACTTGTTTTCGTTGCAGGCTGACAAGCCCTCTCACACACACACACACACGCACACAAACACTCTGGCTTTTACCTCTGATTTCTCCATTGTTTCAAGTATCATCTCCACCTCTGGCTTGTTGCATTTCTCTAAGGGAGACGCTACCCGCTCGCCCCCCCCCCCTGAAAAATACATCTTGAGGCGATAAGAGGAGAAAGTTTGTTGCGGGAAATTGCAAGATTGTTGCATTGAGTTGGAAAAGAAAAGGCTGGATAAGGAATCAAAACGCACTACTAGAATTGCTTATTAATAAGGTTGAAAAAAAGGAGGCTCCAAAAAGGAGGCCAAAGCGTGTACATTCATGTCATGGATGAATCACAGAAAAGCTAACTAAACTAAAAGACAAAAATAGAATTACAAGTTGAATTCCCTTACTTTGATATGGGGAGGAAGCAAAAAAGGTTGTCCATTAACGTAGCATTAAAATAGGAGCAAACATGGAGGCCTGCCGCGCTTTTTATGCATGGTAGTGTATACCAGTGTTTTTCAACCTTTTTTGCGTCAAGGCACACTTAAGACACAGAAAAAATCTCACGGCACACCATCAACACGGAAATGATATGAAAATCAATCCCAAACATAGTTTCAGCATGAGCATAATATACTAAGAAATCAGGGAAAGGCGTGTTCTATTTTTTTGTGTTTTATTAAACTTAACGTCATCCTAATGCCAAGATGGCACAGGCTTTTTGCCCAGGTACAGATCATTTTGGACAGGCTGCATTACCGCCACACACCTGTAGAACAAAAGACATGCTGTCTTGGTATATGAACATCGTTAAGTGCTAGTACTTTACACACAGAACATTATGGGAACAACTATGCCGCCACGCGACAATACATTTATTATGAAATTACATAGTACTCACTTAATGCGAAATCTGGGCCTGTTTAGATGCACACAAACGTGGTATCCGGGCAGGAATTGATGAGAGGCACACACGTAATTCCTCATCAAGGGATCGCAGACGTTCTCTATGTTTAGTCTTTATTGCTGTTAAACTTGAAAATCCGAGCTCGCATAAGTATGTTGTGGAGAAGGGGAGCAATGTTGAGACAGCCCTGTTTGCCACAATCAATTGTTCTTGCTCCTGCAAAAAGTCAAATTTGTGTCATCCAAAACTGCCTTGTATGGGTCCCTGACCCAGTCAAAATCGTTGTAGGCTGAGGGGAAATAAAAGGAAATTTTCTCCAAGTGTCGTCAGGTGTTTCTCGATCACTTCGCACAAAGCCGCGGTGTTGACTTTTTCTTGCCATTTTTGAGTGAGGGGAAACATCTAAAGAGTACCCCTTCCGAGGTGTTGTCAACCTTTGTCCGTGCTTGTGAGTATGTGTTCGTCACGGCCTTGCATTCTTGAGTTGAGGTCATTGAGATATCTGAAAATGTCTGCCAGGTACGCAAGTATTGCGCACCACTCGTCACTTCCAAGCAGCTTGGCACCATCGAACTTCTCATCTGTCAAAAATGTTTTCAGTTCCTCCCTCAGTTCGTAAACGCGAGCTAGAACTTTTCCCCGTGACAACCATCGGACCGCTGTATGGAGCAATAAGGCACTATGCTCTGCTCCCATCTCCTCACATAAAATAGAAAACAGGCGGCTTTTTAGTGGTCTTGTTTTAATGTAGTTAACCATGCTCACAACTCTTTCCAACACACTGGTTAGCTCTGCTGGTAGCGTTTTAGCAACAAGTGCCTCTCGGTGTAGAAAGCAGTGGGTGACCACAACATCAGGGTTTCTTTCTCTCACTGTGCTCACGAAGCCATTAATGCGCCCAACCATGGCTGCAGCTCCGCAAACACCCACACAACTGTCCCACTGAAATCCTCCTTGGTTGAGATACTCGGATGTCACTCGGAATATTTCCTCCCCTTCTTTTTGGGCATTGCCTTGCAAAAAAGGAAATTTTCGCGTATTGAAGCTACATCCACAAAGCGCAGGTTAGCCAGGAGTTGGGCATGGCCACTTATATCTGTCGACTCATCGAGTTGCAAAGCAAATTTCCCGCTGCAGCGGATCTTCTCCAAAACAATGCTCTCGATGTCAGCAGACATGTCATCAATACGTCTCGCTATGGTGTTATCTGAGAGGGGAACTTTAGCTATCTCCTTCACTGCATCTGGGCCTAGCATGACATTGACAATGGCTTTGCAGGCGGGTAATATCAATGATTCCCCCACAGTGTAGTCCGCTACTAATTAGCTAGCTTCGAGGGCTCTCTCCGACACCTTTGTGACCTTTGTCATCATAGTAGCCTGTTTCATAGTGTTGTCACGCAAACGAACAAAATTGTTTGGATCCTTGTCTTGGAGCGCAGGGTGTTTAGTTTGCAAGTGGCGTTTAAGCTTGCTAGGGACCGTGGCACTGTTAGCTAGCTTTTCCCCACACACAACGCACAACGGACTCGGTGCGGTGGGAACCCCAGTGAAGGAAAATCCAAATGACAGATACTCATCACTGTACTGTCTTGAGCTCACCGTTTTAGCCTTCTTTTGACACCCACTTGTACTGGGCTCATCATCTGGATCTGGATGAGGTGTGGGGGGGATCTTGATCAGGACCTAGTTTTCTTTTTAAAAATTTCTCCATTAGACTTTTATGCTTGTACTGTACCTATCTCTTAAGCCTTATTTTGTATGTTGGGGACATTTTACTGTCACGTCCAGTGTCAGCCTAAATGCAATTTGTAAAATACATTACCCAACATTACAGCTAGTTGTGGACCTTTTTATTTTGACAAAGTCAAACCCTTGCCTAACAACCTAATCTCACTAAACATCCAGACATGGTATATTATAGAACATTTTACTTATTTATATAGTAGCATTGCATATTTAACTAAAGCAATTGACCTATACTGGGAAGCTTGTGCTTCTTTTCAACCTCCATTGTGAATAAGCTTTTAGTCAGTCATACATACTTTGATAATACCAAACAAGCAGTCATGTTACTGTCAAGTAATTCATATTGAATGCTAGATGAACCCTCCAAGGTCATATGGTGTCAGCCCAGTGGGAAGTGAGAATGGTTATTAATGTGAAATCGCTGCGCACGTGGCTCAGGTTTGAGATGAACAGGTTTACAATAACAGTCTGGCTCTTCGAGGCGGGATCATACTTGTTTCCAGGTTCCACTGGTGTGGGTGCCCATCGCTGTTTCCATGGAAACCATTGCAAATCTTAAAGAGACACCCGGGGCCCTTTTGAGTAAAGGCATATCTGTATAGGGGGGGGGGGGGGGGGGTGGTTGATGCTCTAGATCTATTGTTAATGGAAAGCTTGTGAAGCCAGGTTCCTGTCACATGGGACAGAAACACCAATGTAGACCAGTAGTTTTAAGTTGAACAGGAACGCCCAGCCTTACATAAGTGTCATTTGTGACTTTGATAAAACATATGCATGTGGCAAATAATCAAGCTCCTTGCTCAGCACAAACATTAGCCATTTTGTACCAACTCAGTCTTACCAAGCCAGCTAACCCGTGAGCTTAAGAGAACTTGTTAACGTCTAGCAATCAATTCAACACCCAGTAATGCAAAAAATTAAATAATCCCCTCACATCCTGCACAAGAATAAGAAATCTGTTGACTAGTGTTGAAACATGCCTTCTCATACCCCACTATTTAAATCTGACCATAAAACCATAAAGTCTTGTTCGCAATGTTTAGTTGGGGAATACTGTATATGAAGTGAGTATTCATTTTCTTCTCAAAGAAGGGTTGCCCCCTTACGGCAATTAGAGAGAATGCAAGTTCAAGGTATTTCCTTGGATTGGTTTCAGTTTTCAGACCTGGAAGTTCCTATCTTCGACCTTGCCTTAACCTGTAATTAAATTAAATTAGTGACCTTACAAGACAAATCCAATTCCAAAATTCCAGCTATATGCTTATCCTTATGCTTTGATTCTTTTAGGTAGGGTGCTGGTCAGCCTAACTGAGCATAAAAGCGGGAAGCAGGAGTGAGTTTACAGGTTGGAACTATTTCTCCAAGAACAGCAGCCGCAACAACAACAACAACAAGGTAAAGCTTTTCTAAAGTAGATGACTGTTTGCGGATCTAAGAACAAACAGAATGAGAACAGCCTGGTGCGTGAAATGGATCCAGGGATTAATACACATCTGCCTCACCAAATGTGTAGTGAAACTAGAAAGAAACAAAAGCTTGATTTCCTCTGGTTTGGGTTTGACATCTCCCATGTGCAGACCCAAAGCAACAATGTGTATGTCCTTCTCTGAATACTATCATCATACTGCCATCTCATTACGCTTGTAATTCCCAAACTGGCCGCATAAGGACATTAAATAAGAATTAAAATCATGTTATCTTGAGTGCTAATTATTCTGTTTTCCAACCACCTGTGTTCTGGAGGTAAAACAAGTCCTCAACCTGTTCTAGTCATAGAATTCAAAATAGTATGATTTTGTGTTACACAATTAGTATTCTTCACGTGATCATAACCGCGCCAAATGACAAAAGTTCAGAGGGAGACAACCAACTGCACCACCTTTTATTAATTAACTCATTTCTCACTGTTCTGCTCTGTTCCATCTTAGTGCGACAGAGAGTCTGTGCTCTGCCACATAGAGGCACATGGTGTTCTGGGTCATCTGATAATCACGATGTTTGTGCGTCGATGTTTATAATCTTGTGGTGCCAAAGATGATTGTCTACATCCGAGGATGACTACCAGCACCTGGGTTTTGCCCTCAGCCGCCCCCCTACTTTAGCATGTTTATCTTCCAACTATATATTCCTGCTCGAAAGAGGAAGACCTTTGAGTAGACTTTGCAGATGACTTGTATGTGTGTCAAATCTGTCTCCTGTTTGTGAAAACATTAAATGTCCTGATTTTACAGTGAGTGAGTGACTCTTCCAGCACTTTTCCCCCCCATTTTAAATGATGCTCATTTAACAAAAACAAGATTATATATATTTTGACAATAACTTCTCATCTACTTTTTAAGATTTGAAGTGTTTTCATCAAAAAAGAAAGTCAAATATCAGTGAATTGGAAT